TTATCAACAGATTCTGCTATTCTTTGAGGGTATTTTCTTTCTGCAGAGGTAGAATTACACTGTTGAGCTAAATAGCAACAAAGAAACACTCTATTTCACTCTACAAATCATTATTTTTCCATGTCAATGAAGGAAGTCATCAAAACAGAAAATAAAACATGACAGTACCCAAGGTTACTGCTTACCTAAAGGAAAGAAGCGTGGTGTGCCAGCATAAATTTTGCCCAGGAGGACAATCTTGAGACTAAGAGCATGCATTCTATCTGGAGAGCTCAATGTTACACTGTCATTCAATTCTGTAAGAAAGAGACGTCATTAAAACCCAAGCTTACATTGGCTATTTAACTGTTTCAAGGTTAAAAATACTTTAGAACTTATATTCACATTAATATAATTAGCAGATTCTGCGTTTCTGTTAGTGTCTGACATACTCTCTTCTCTTACCCAGGTATTGCTTATAAGATTCTGAGGTAAGCATCTCAGTATCCCCTATTAGGCAGCACAAACCATAAAAATGATACAGTTTTTTACTGAGAGTCCTCCCAAATATTCCCTGGGGTCTTTCTCCACACAAGCACCCTCCACCTTCCACTTACTTTGTACTTAGGAATACACAATTTTCATAAGCCATAGATATAATAGCTACTAGCAGTCTGCATTCCTCTATTAAGTCACTAAATAACATATGTTAATATACCTTTAATTGAACACTTACCTTTCTCTATGATATCTTGCCAAAGTGTCTGCACCAGTATAGGGTCTGAATAACCGGCACAATGAATTATTGCAAGTTTACACTCCGCAAGTTTAAATGGGTCAGCAAATTCCCCATAAAGCTGTGGGAGAAAATCCCAAAATTAAACGCCAAGCCAGAGGTCATTATTCAGAGCTAATCTCTGAATAGTGAAATACTCCTTGAAAATTAAAAATAACCAAAGATTTTATCTAAAGTTTCTAAAATATGACATAATAGTATAATGATATATAACGGGATCATAAGTCCAGATTAAAAATAATGAATATATGAGAAATACACTCAAATAGATTTTAGTATATGTGCCTTTTTTTCTTGGCTAGAAGGGAGATGCTGCAAGGACATTTCTTTTACAATTCGTATGTCTAAACCAGAGGTTGAAGAATCATGAAAGCACTGACAAATCTCAGGGTACTTCAGCGTACTTGGAATCATGTCCAAGAATAACTGAAGAGGAAGGAACTGCTCAGGTTACAGAGTGAGAAAGGATTGGAGAGTTAAGCAAAGGTAAGTTCTTTTCTCCAAGACAAGAAGTAAGGCCATAAATTAGCTGGTTTTAACATAGCCCCCATGTCAGGCAGATAGGTTCTTTAGAGCTACTGGCTTAGAAGGAACAGCTTAGCCTTTTGTAGAAGTCAGATGCAGCAGTGGTGATTTGTCAGCCCAGATACAAGCTACCAAGGATGGTTAATCTTATTTTGTGGAGACAGGTTAATCTTTCCTGTGAAACAAAGAGCAAAATGCAGAACAAACAAGAAATTTCTAGATTTTAGGTAATCACTGTAGGAATTTCACTTGCTTTTTTATTACCTTAGTTATGTCCATTAGCTCAGAATCCAGCTGAGAAATTGCATCCTGTACGGAAGAATGATGAGAATACTGCCTTTGTAGTGTCTCTTGTATCTGAAGTTGGATCCTAGCAACCTAGTTTGGGCAGAAAAGAGGACATCTTAATTTCTTTTTGACAAATCAATAGGCAGTTGAAGGAATGACTTCTAGTATCGGACGTTTAAGTTTGCTAAAATAAAAATACTGTATAAATAAAGACCTCAATTGTAACAAACTAGCATCATTATAATAGACTTCATCTCAACATAACCAATTTCTCAGGAACTATACTGTGGCAGAGCCCTTGCTGCCCGCCAATATGACTGTAGCCAGATAAAACAGCTAGACTATCCTTCTCGGCTGCCTTTGCAGGGAGGTACAGACGTACGGCTAAGTTCTCTTCAAAGCAAGAATGGAAGGAAGGAAAGCATGTCACATCAGGGCTGTGTTTTTTTTTTTTTTTTTTTACAGTGAATGCACTTTGTACATGCTTGTTTCCCCCTTCCTCCCTCTGACCAAAGATAAAGCAAAGGCCGTAAGGAATGGTGTGCCCGACAACAGAACCCGCATCCCTAAACCAACCACATGGAGGAAAGCCACCTGCCAATCTGAAACACCCACTCTGGATTTTTGTAAATGAGAAATAAGCTTTTATATTTTGACCATTATGTTTTTGAGTCTCTGAGTGCCTTTCCAATTTAGCTTACCCTACTTCTTACATCTACTTATTAGCTTCCACAACAAATGGTGAATGTGGTATAATCCACTTGCTTTTGGAATAGCTGAAAAAACTTTTAGAAACGCCATAGAGAAAACTTCTAAATTATAGCAATGTCTTTATAACTCAAGTGCTAGCATTCTTAAAATTTCTTCAAAATTTGTATCTAAACATAAAAATAAGTAAATACATATAGGTAGAAGAGACTAGAATTAATAATAATGACTTCTACAGACTTATTATTTATCAGGGGAAGAATGGAAAGTGAATAACTATGTGGCTACTACTCAATATGAACACAGCTTAGGTATCTTTAGTACTTACTTCCATTTTTTCTTCTAATTCATGAAGGAATTCACCATCTGCAGCTATTGATGAAATGGCAGTAGAACTTTTGGCACTAAGAATGGCTCGAGCAATGTACTCTAGTCGCTGCTGAAGTGAAATTTCTGTGCTAAGAAGGAAAACTCTCACTTTTAGTTACATGATTTCTTAAGAATTGAAGATATAAATATGTCAATTAGGATGTATTTTATACCAAATGAACATAAACGGC